TCACGTGGGATGTCCGGGCCTCAGCAGAGACTGTCGCGCGGGTCGCCCTGCTTCTCGCGTCTGTGGTTAAGTGCGAAGATCAGTTCTTAGTTTTTTGCTTGCCCGTCTGTGGCGCCATTTACCCTACCTGTCCCGAGCTGTGCAGGGCACCTTGCTGTCCTGCCTGCTCTTCCCGCCTCCTCAATTTCCTGCCGCATCGCCAGTCTGTAATGCTGGCGCATCCTCGATCTAGCGCGCCGTCTGTCCTCCCGACTGTATTTCTTCTCCAGGCTGACTTCCTCCCTCTTCGGCACTTTAAACGTCGCCTTGCAGCGGCTCCTCCTGAGCTCTTGACTCCAGCGCAGCCTCTGCCCTGGCCACTTGCACTGCCCTGCCGGGAGGATGCTGGGAGCCTCTCAAACCTAGCACCCAACTCCGATTCCTCTGCCTCTGCCAGTCTTCCGGCTCAGTTAGCGACAGTTCCCCTGTTCTCCCGCCCAGACAAAGCCCAGGGCACCTTTGCCCGACCGGTCGTCAGTGCCTTGGCTGGGCTGCAGGATCCGGGTGAGAGCTGCCAGCCTGCTGCCCCTCAGCTGTCCCGGGGCTCGTCTTCATTGTGCTTCCCACCTCTCCGTTGCACTTAGCAGCATCTAGAGTTCTGTTTGGTTTGTTTGCTTCTTTGTTGTGTTTTTCTCTGCAAAATGTAAAGTCCTAGAAAGCAGAGGTTTTTTTGTATTTTGTTTACTATCGAATCCTTAGCATGGAGAAGACTTATATGTCTATAACATATTAGACCTCAATAAAAACTTTTTGAATCGTGCTCAGAATGGTTCCAGCACATAATAATAAGTGCAAACCATCTCTTCACTCCGATTATAAAGTTCTCAGAGTGCATAACGTGAAGGAACGCTGAACCGTGGTATTCTCCCTATTGGTCGCTTATTAATCCTGTAGAGTAAGACTATTTTCTTATTTTCAGTATATCCCCTTTGGGTTATCCTGGCGCTGCGACATGCTTTGTAGACCCTGAGCAAGTGGTAAGTGTATCGAGCGAGACCAAGACTCGAGGCCTGGTGTTCTTTGGGACCAGCTTCCTCATCAAAGCTTTTCAAGACACAAGCGGGAAGGATGGTGGAAATTATGTGCCGAAATTTCCCCTTTGCCCCCTCTAAGCCTTTTTCCTTACTTAGCCTTGGGACCCTTTTAACTTAGAATTACTGAGCAATCCCGAGAGTTTGACTTTGATTCCCGCACTAGAACTTGGCGTCCTTGTGTGCTGTATGACAAAGTCCCGTACACAGCGCGCAGGCAGTCGTGTTCCCGAGGTCCCTTGACGGCCTCCGAGAGGTCACTGTAGATGAGAGAGACTGGAGCCCGGGAACAATGCTGACGACGTGGGGACAGTTGCGCTTCAGTGTGGTTCAATGAATGCTGTAACGGCATCATGGACAGAGCCACAGAGTAGCAAACAGGAAGGCAGGACTACCACGCTTGCTGGTGTGGGCTGAGGACGAAGAGAAAAGGCTTCGTCAGAGGCCATGCCCATGCCAACCGGTGTTGCGTGGAAACCTGAGCAGTTTCTCCAGTCTGCAGGGGACCCGGAGAGAGTGGAAGCATCTCAGGGACACGGGACAATATAGGAAACCCACAAAGAAGTGTCACCACGTGCTGCGTGCGCAGAGTTGGTGTCCCTGCGGCATGACGTGTGTGTGTGTGTGTGTGTGTGTGTGTGTGTGTGTGTGTGTGTGTGTGTGTGCACGCATGCACACACCCATGAATGTCCACATGCATGCATGCATGTGTAAGGGCACTGTGGCATTTGTGTAAAGTCCCAGAATGTGGCCACAGGGCTTTACTACAGCATTAAGAGCTGGTGCTGTTTCCTGTGGTCAGCGGGAGCTGTGACAGAGGAGAAGCAGACTCTGGTATTTGTGCTTTCTGGGAGTGACTGTGTGCTCGGCAGAGGGTGACTGAGGTGGAGGCCTGGAGGGGATCTGGATAAGCAATGGCCCGAACTAGAGCAGGGATCACAGAGCGGAGAAGAAGGCTTCTGAGGCTTCCTCGAGACTTGGAGAAGCCGCCCTGATGGACAATGCTTGGGAACATGCACTATCGACATGCGCCTCCTTCCTGGGAGTCTCAGTAAGTCGGTTCTTTGTCCTCTGTTGAGCGGGGCATTGGAGGAACAGGACACGCAGGACTCTGTGGCCCACAGGCCTATGGCAGGGCAGGCTCCCTTGGGGCCCTGTCTGGAATGGAGCGGATCTTGGGACCAGGAGCCCAATCCAGTCTGGGTGAGCTTAGAAGCCACCGTTCAGAGCTACTTCCACAGGAGCTGCTCCTGCCGTGTCTTGAACAGAGGCCTCCAGCTTCAGCATGGCTCACTGGGGTTCAGCTACACACTGAGCTGAAAGTGGCACTCTCAGGGTGTCCTTCTGTGTCCCAGGGCCATCCGATGTGATTTTCCTTCCAGGTACTGACTCAGGAATCAGGTGACTTGGATTTAGCTGCCTGTGGAGGGACAAGACCCCTGGCAAATGTGGCCAGGCTCTGGGGACAGAGGCAGCCCCAGCAGGCTGACTGCTCACTCACTTGGGGCCTGAGCTCTGGCGCCTGCTGCAGCACTGGCCACCAGCACCCCAGCCAGCGTCTCCTACCCTGTCAGGCCTGCCTGGCTCCGCTGGTTTCTAGGCTCTCTGTGTGAGGCTACACATGCTCTCCTGTTACACCACCTTGCTGGCCGTGTAGGCCGAGAGTGTGCCTGTAGCAGAGCCTACCGGTCCAGGACTCAGCAAGGTCGCGGTAACAACCATGGCTTTGGTTTTGTGATCAACTTTATGGCTGCCTCAAACCACTGCCTTCTTGAGCACTGCCTGGTACCCAGCTGCAGCAGCAGCTGATGGGTCTGCTCTGCTGCCGGTCTCTACTGGGGCTCCTGCCGTGGCCTGGCTGGGCCAGCTCTCAGGTGTCCTTGGGGTCTGAAACTCCTCCGCTCACCACAGGTTGCAGTTGATGTCATTGTTCAATTTACCTTCAGTCACCTGAGGGCTTCCTCTGCCACCAAGCCCTATGTCCGGTGTGAAATGCCACCCCCGGAATGGCAGTTCTCTAATGATAGGGCCACACTTACACTTGTGTGAACACGTGCGTGTGTACAAGTCTTCACCTGCCTTCTGTGAGTGTGTCCAGATCTGCCCATGTTACAGACCCTACTCATCTCACCAAGCTGTAGCTCTGTACAGACTCCTTCACCCTCTGCAGGCTGGAAGATGGTGCAGGACCTGGTGACACCACAGGCCCTGGAGCTTGGCAGCACAGCTCGGCCGGGTGCGGCCCTGCACACTCTTCCTACCAGCGGCCGCCGTTGTCATCCGCTGCCTGAATCCCAGTCCCCTCTTCCTTTGTCCCCTCCTTTCAGAGCTGAACTTGTCCTCATCCCGAAAGTGAAGGTCACACCCTTCCTCCCCATGATTTCTCTATGGCTCTTGCGGCTTCTCTCCAGGCTGTGAGGCGCAGTGGGAGGTGATCTTCAGGGTGCTCTGCAGCATCCCCGGCATCGTGCGCCCCCTTATTGGATGTGTGTGCACCGCCATCTGGAGACACAACTGGGTTTGTTTTCCTGCTCAGATCTGGAAGCTCTGACTCAGCCCTTTCCTCGGGTTCTGAGGGCCAAGCGAGAGACAGTGCAAGACCACTCTGCGAACTCAGGACTCGTGCCAGTGGGTTTACTAGCATGGCCCCTGGCCCGGCTCAGGCTGAGACAGTTCGTGAGAGCAGAAGGAGGAAGTCAGTGCTTGGGGACTGCGAGCCCCGCACAGGGTGGGAATCGCTGGTTTGGACTAGGAGGTCCCTGGGTCCAGCCCTCATCTGGCCCATAAAATAGCTCAAGAGAGCAGGAGAGGAGCAGTGCGGAGACCCCTGGGATGTGCCCTGTTGGGGGCGCATCCTGTCCTGTCCTCCTCACCTGGAGAGCAGCGGCTTCCCTGGCTTGGGGCTCCTGGGCGACGACCCGTGGCCTGTGGGGATGGGATTTCCCACGCAAACAGCCGTGTTGTTGTCTGTGTCTCCGGAGCTTGGCTGGCAGGGAGCGAGGCTCCTCTCCGATCGGCCAGGCCGTGTGGAGCCTCTGATATACAGTGCGGGGACCGCAGGGCATCCGAGTTGTAACAAGAACATGGTGAGCTTGTGGCCTCGGGCTCCTAACCTGCCCCTCAGCCCACACTTCAAAGAAAGTTATTACACGGGAGTCAGACTAAATCAGACCTGGCTGCGAGGTCTGACCGGTGTGGCCGTTCTCAGGCTTTCTCATGTCACACGCACCACAGGTCCCCACAGTTCCCCCGAAACCTAACCAGGAGCCAGACAAAGCGGCCCGGTGATAGTTTATTTGTAGCTCTTTAAAAATCAGCACAACTGATTTATTTTGAAATTTCAGTTAAGCATGATGTCAAGAAAATCTCTCTGGCTATTTATCATCTTTTTTCCTCTTAGCGTAGTCTGAGTAGGCAGAATAAAATTAGAAACTGGCTCCTCTATGCTGCCTGGTTTTGTCATAGGTTGCAACTGTTACTGGAATATCACACGCTGGGATGTTTAGGTGGTAATTCTCCTCTACCCACCACTGTGGGAAGGCCTTCCTTATGGCTTAGTCTCTGTTAGCAACATTCTAGGCACTGCAGGAAGAGGCACAGTGGATGATCTAAGTTTTATTCCACATCTAAAGTGAAATTAAGGGAAGGAAAAAATTAGTCAAACCAAGGAACCGAACCTTACCTGGGAGAGGGGCTGCAAAGCCCAGGGAGAACTCGGGATGAAGCTCAGAAGTCAGG